CTCCTCAAGCTCAAGTTGATATAATAAAAATAATGCCAAAAGATTCAACAAGTTTTGATCGAACATAAAATCAGTTTGACTCTCATATTCCGTGACATTTTTATTACGCCTGTCACTGCATCGAGAATTTATTGCTGCAATTTAAAAAATTCCTTAAATTATCAACTAATTATATGGCAAATATTTACCAAAGTCGCCGCAGCCGCATAACAAATTGAACAAATGTTCGCGCATTGCACATTGCTCATACGCAACGTATGCCCATAGCAAAATATTAGCTTGTCTACGCCACTCGCAAAAGTGTGCCAAATAAATCAAAATGCGAGCCCATTAAACCGCGTACTAAATTAAGCCCGTGCAAATAAACAAAACGGGCTTTAATCGAATGACAAAAAACCAAAGCCAAACCCCTGGCCAGGTTGCACTTTAATGGCCAGTAAAATCTTTACGACGCTTTCGGGACAAGTGCAGGCTGAGTCATCCGAGCTTCCCACGTTCCAAAACCAAAACTAAAAGATAAACAAACCGAAATTGCACAATTGTGCATATGTTATATGTTAGCCCATGTATGTAGTTATTTGAGATAATCTGTTTGATCCCCTTTGGGGACGGTGGGAGGTCTACTCCCGCTATAGCCAGCGCTTTTTTCCATTCCTTTTTTTTTTTCGTTTTGTGCGAATTTTATGAAACGAAAGCTAAACAAAGTTGATTATTTTATAGTTTTGAAACGATCGGGGAATGGGCGAATATGTGTGTGTGTATATATCATCCGGATTCAAGGTTAAACACGCAATAATTAACTTGGCGCGGGAGCATATGCTCCACGAGCAGAGCATCATTGGAGGCCCGTTCCCGTGCCCGTGGCCATAATAAACAGACCCTCTGCTCCTCCGATCTCCCACTGCCGGAGCACCGGCGATGCTCTTGGTACGGCAAACACATGGCAGACGCGGGCGTTGTCCAGCCAGCCAGTCAGGCGACCATGCGACCAAGCAGCCAGACGCCCAGACGGGCAGACGGCCGATCGTTAAGCCAAATGGAAGCCGTCGATTCTGTCTAATGCATTTTGTAGCCCATTTTCAATTAAAAATGTTGTACATTTTCGTTTCGGCCAAGGTTAATTGATCGATTTTGCGATGATGGCTTTCAATTGTGAATTTGAAGTTGCAAATGCACTTTGGCCGAATGCTGATTTCAATTTAGATACCCGAGAGCCGAGAGAGTCCAAGTGCAATGGAAATGCATTTCCATGAACTACATTAACACAGGTCTGTGCGATCATAGACGGATTTAAAAGTTGGACGCGTGGGGGATTCACCGGATGATGGCCAGAGTTTACCATTTGTGGCGGTGGACTCAGAGTTTTTTCCAGGGAATAGCGTGGCAGACGATTTAATGGCCGTGTTTTGCTTCTGCTGCCGCTGTTTACCGGGCTTTTTGTTTTTGTTTTCCTTTTTCCCCATTGCCATTTGGCGAATTTTCAAGGGCTCTGCCGCATCGTGCTTCCCCTTGTCAATTCTATGACAAAAGGAAAATGCGGGAGAAAAGGCGGGAAAACTGGAGAAAAACATTTCCAGCGAAATGCTCGGCTGCACATTAAAAATATTTACAAATACTTTCGACCCGTCCTGAGCAAACAAATTCAACGTAATTCCGGCTGACTGCAAACTGTTTTGCAGAATGTTTGAAATGCAAATAACAATTGGAAATGATTCCTAAGAAGACTATTATTCATATGTTGTCCTTCCTAAGCAGTGTTTCTAATTGTTTTTTCCTCTCACTCCACCTCGATGGTGCAATTTACCGCAGACTTTTAAGGAAACGTGTAATTTAGCGTCTAGAACTTAAGCCAAAATAGAAATCTGCACACCCTTCATTACGTTTTCGAAGAATATGGTGGAAAATGTGTTAGTGTTTAAGGCCTTTGCCAATTATATGTAATGGCTTTTCCGATTTTGTTTGTGGCAGTCACGCATCGCGCATGCATAACGGCCCCAAAAAAAGCACACGCCCATAAAGTGTACAAGTTTATTTATCATTCGGCAGCGCCAGCAGGCACTGTAAACACACGCGCCCCAAATTCTACAAAAGTGGAAAAGTTTTTGGAATTACAAAGTATGAATTCTGCTCAGCATGTTGCAAGATCTGCATATAAGGTCGGCAAGGTCGTGATATAAATAATGGTGAGAGCAACGCCGAAAATTGCATTTGCGAATCGAATTGAATCGAAATCCATCGAATCGTTGTGATTTATCCCAAATGTGTGGCTGAAAATGTGATAATTTGCTGTTTTGCGGTTTGTGGCTATATTCGATCAATTTGCGCATGCGCAGCTGCCAATTAAATCGAGCGTTAAGTATACGCCGCGTTGGACCAAAGCCGGCACAGGGCGCCAGTTTAGTCGTCCAGCAGCACTGCAATTAAGTCATTAAATACAAATTAGCAGCGAACAACAATTGGCTACCTCCCTTCTCCTTCTGCCTCACTAGCCTCCAGCCTCCCGCTCGGGCATCGTCAATGGCCGTGTAATTAAGCATACGCCGCGTTGTCTGGCCAGACCAGCCACGCATCACACCTCAACCTCAACGCGGCCAGAGGTGGTTTACACGAATGGTATTTGGTCTGCTGGTCGGTGGTTCCCATCCGAAGTGAAGTGAAGCTGGAGAGGATGGGGAGCCGAAGCTGCGCGGCGGCCTTCACAAACGCTCACGGGGACAGACTGAGCGGCGACGATGGCTAGGCTAGCTGGCTGTGCAGACTGTGTGTCGACCGGAGCCATTGGCATAAATTATGGCACTCGGCGAAATGAAGCGATCGGCTGACACACAAATCGCTTGTTTGTTTCCACTTGGCGATCAGGTGTAAACAGGTTTCCCCCTCGGTTTCAATTCGGATTTGGACTCTGATTCTGATTCTTATTCCTCATCGAATTGGTCAATTAGTCAGAGGCAACCACTTGGCCGTGGTAGTAAATTAGGCAAAGGTGGAAATGAAGCATTCGAAAGATTCTCAGAACAATAAAGCGATACAAGCCAGAAGAGCCTAAAGAGAATAAAGAACGGCAGGGCTACTTAGCCGCTGACGATGAAAGAAGGCAAGAAGGCACGCAGTGCATTTGCATATTCATGAGGCGAAGCGAAACAAGTTAATAAGCAGCTCCCCCAACGCATGCATAACTAACAATTCGGAGATAACGCCGAGATCGCTTTAATTAAGTGCATAAAGAGCCGGAGGGGCGGTGGCTTTCTTTGGGGCACCCGTGGCCAGTGCGATTAGCATTGCAAATCGACCCAACACACAAGCATTTAAGTATTGTATGAAATTTATGATAAGCCTCACACCAGAGCAGGTCTAGATGGATTCGCCTGGCACACTCATCAGTGGATCAATCTCTCTCTCTTTTTTTTGGCCGATAAAATCGATTCCGAAAACTGTCCAGAGCAACCTGGGCAATTCAATGATAACCCAGGTCATAAATCAATTTGTTGATTATGTCCAAGGCTCAGTTAATGATTTGTTGAATATTTAAATACAGAGTTTAATGAACGACTTAAAATACATATACAAAAAATACAAATTGTTTGAGATCCGTTTATTGACAGGAATGTTAACTAGAATTTGAGTTGTTTTTGAATGGAATTCGAAGACACTTTGTCTATATATTGTTAAGATCCTTACCCAGGGATATCCTCTATTTTCGCTTAAAAGTAGGCAACCTAATCGATCACTTGACCTTCAAAATGCCAAACTAGATATGAAATATGAACTTGAAATTCATTAAAAGACCTTTAAATTTGGCACAGGGCGCCGACTATAAACCTAATGAGAATTTTATGGCTCAATGTTCTAAGCAATTTGCAAAAGCAATTAATTTGTAACTTTCGGGGTGGCTCTGATAAAGGTCAATAACAATTAAACAATTTCAAGGACAAGTTTTTACGCTTTTCTGGCTCGAATGTGCTTATGTATGTATTGAAAACAGTTCCCCGTTTTGCGGTTTCCATTTCCCATTAGCTGGATTTGGGCTTGGGGAACCGCAAAAATAGTTTGGGCTATTTGTTATACGCCGGAAATGTGATCTCACACGGCTCCACCACCAGCGGAATCACACGGCACGCCAGATCGGTATTTCTCAGATATCCATATATCCGAATATTCAAATAATCACATATCCGTAGAGCCCATGGCAGACACATTCACGGCGACATTATGGCCAATGAGCATAACGAATGTGTCGGCGGTTGCAGAGTTCACAGAGCTGCCATAAAATTATGTAAAAGAGCCATCATTTAGCTGAAATAATCTGCTAATTTCGCGGGGGAATTTTAATTTATTTGCGCTGATGTATGAATTGTCTGAAATTATTTCGTCGGAGGTGCAAACAAAGAGCTCTCACATAAATTTACAAATTAGAGGCATTTAATTTTTTTGGCTCGTGGGGTACTAAGTCTTTTTATTCGCATTTTTTCGGCTCTGCTTTTCGCTTTTGGGTTTTTGTTTTATCTCTCGAGCACAAATTGCCGTTGGCACACTTTACACCTCGGCTTTTAAGCGTTTATTTTAAACAAAAAATGTGCAAAAATTCGCGGTGCGAGGAAGTGATTTCAACAGCTTCTCTTACTGTCTGGCTGCAACCAAAGGCCACCGCCGCCGGCCATCCTCATCCTCGCCTCAGCGATCCGAGCGATCCGAGTATCTCACAGGTGGTCAAGGTACCAAACAATACCTGGCCGACTAGCCGGCGGCAGCAGTTCATCAATAATTCTTTCAAAAAGTCTATCACTCACCCGCCATAATGGGCACTTGGGGCAGTGTGGAACGTGCCCAAGCTCTTATCTGGCGGCCAGCTCTCCAGCCGCCCCCTAATCGAGATCCGCACGCACCCAAGGTGTGAAAGAATGCCAAAGAGAGTGTGGCATATCGGCAATCTGACCAGAATATAGCGCCTATACTTTGACCCATCCCGTACTAATATCGAATATACATTCTCATCTTTGCAGCTCGTGCTGAAGAAGAGGTGTGAATGGTGGTTCTACAGGTACAAGTGCAGCCAAAAGATGTCCACCCATTGGAGGCAGCATGGCTGCCTGTATGCCTGCCTCACCGCCTTCCTGCTGGCCATGGTCTTCATGTTTTTCCATGGCATGCCGAGTGCGCATAGAACCAGGATTGAACTGCCCAAGAACAACTATACAGATTCGCAACATACCTTAGTATCCACACCACTGCCACCATTATACAACGGTGATCCAACGGATACCCATCCATATAAGCACTTTGACAACGGCACCAATGCGAAAGACACGGGTGACGCGGGAGGCTTCGATGACTTGGGCGAAGAGGATCTCACCGCCTTCGTGACGCCCACCAAGGTCTACTACAACTATAGCCTGAGCCAGGACGACCTGCTCTACGAGTCGAAGAGGAACAGCGACATCAATAGCTTGCTCAAAGGTAAGCTAACTTGAAAACAAGTTACAGGTTCTTATTAGTCTCTTAAAAGATCAATCAATTCCCAATCAAATATTTATATGCATGTCTACTTATTAGCAAGTTTTAACTTCATAAATCTGAAAGCCATGCCAAGCTCTTAAATAAAAACAGCTTAACTCATTAAGTAAATATCTTTTAAAGCATCTTCTCTGTAGACATCTTGGCTAGAAATTCCAGAAATTCCCCCCCAGTTTGATACGATTTTCGGATTAAATATATCTCTATAGATTTTTCGTCGGCCTTCAGCATGACGGGCACGTTTCGCAGCCGGCACAACGAGATCTGGGATCCGCATCCGCAGTACAATCTGAATGTGTTTGGGCGGCAGCTGCATCTGGTCCTGAGGCAGGATGCCTCGTTCATACATAATCATACGATCCATCAGCTGAGGATCCTGAAGAACGAGACCCTCGACACCGACGAGTTTGACCAGGTGGAGCAGGAGCTGGAGCAGGGCCTAGAGGCGGAGCAGCGTGACCTGGACTGCCACTATACCGGCTACGTCGAGGGTGATCCCAACTCAATGGTGGCTGTCTCTCTGTGCAGCGGCATGGTAAGGCCAACAAGTGGCTCCGACTGACCTTGGCACAGCCATTTGCATCGCATTTACATTTCGCAAATTATGCTTTATTGATAAGCCACTGAATATGACTACTAATTCCGAACCCCTGTCCCCGCTCCCCGTTCTGTCCGTTCTCCTCTCCAGACTGGTTATATCAAAACGAGTTTCGGCGCCCTGCTCATCGAGCCGGTGAACCGGACCAGCAGCGACGAGGTCTTGCATCGCGTCTGGCGGAAATCGCTCCGGCACGCCAGACAGGCTGTCACCAGCTTCGAGCTGGGAATGGACGCTCTCATGAGCATGCGAGGCCAGAGCCAGCTGAAGGAGCGGAGCCAGGGCCAGGGCCAGAACCGCAAGCTGAGGCGCCGCAAGAGGCACTACAACGGCATGGAGAGTCAGTTTGGCAGAACCCAGGAGTACACTCTCGAGGTGCTTATTGCCGTGGACTCGAGCATGAAACGCTTCCACCAGCACCGCCTTGATTCCTACGTCCTCATCCTGATGTCCATTGTGTCGAGCATCTTCAAGGACGCTAGCATCGGCAGCCCCATCCACATCACGCTGGTCAACCTGATCGTGCTGCCCGAGAACAACGATCGCCACAACTCCAGCAATCAGATGCTGAAGCACTTTTGCTCCTTCATCAACCAGAAGGGCTATCACAGGGACACGGCAATGCTGATAACTAGGTGAGATACTTTGGTTTTATTGTGGGTCTAATCCGGACTAACCGAGTCTCTGCATCTCAAGGGAACCAATCTGCGGCGGCATACCGGGCAGGAGCTGTCACATGCTGGGCCTAGCCGAACTGGGCACCGTCTGCAATCCTAGGTCCTGCTCAATAGTCCAGGACACCGGGCTACCCGCCGCCTTTACCATGGCCCACGAACTGGGACACATGTGAGTATTACTTTTAGGTGATCTTACAGAGATCCTAACCCACTATAACCCGATTCCAGCTTGAATATGCACCACGACGACGATGCCCAGTGTCAGCCGTTCAACTCAAGACACGGCAACAAGGAGATGCACATCATGTCCAGCGTCATGGGCGTCCACATGCATCCGTGGTCGTGGTCAAGATGCTCCAGGCACTACGTGTCCGAGTTCCTCGAGTCTCTAACTCCCGCATCCGGCACCGCTTCCCATAGGAGAGGGGACAAATCCTGCCTTGAAAACGAACCAGAATTGGTTGTTAAAAACACGGAGAAACGACAGCCCGGAGAGATTTACTCGCTGGACAACCAGTGCCAGCTGATCTTCGGAACCGAAAGTCGACACTGCCCCATGGAGGAGCAATGCCAGCGGCTGTGGTGCAACCGGACACACTCCAACCCCAGCGACCAGTGCCGGTCCAGCAATCTGCCGTGGGCGGATGGCACAACGTGCAGCCACCGAAACAGCGATCACTGGTGCCAGAAGGGCAAGTGTGTGCCACGCCAGGGCAGTAACCGGCTAACAGTCAACGGCGGCTGGGGCAGCTGGAGTCCATGGACGCCCTGCAGTCTCACCTGCGGTGGCGGAGTCCAAGAGTCGCGTCGCGAGTGCAACAACCCGGTGCCGGAGCACGGTGGCAAGTACTGTCTGGGCGCACGGAAGAAGTACACATCCTGCAACGTCCATGCCTGCCCATCGGGCAGCATGGACTCGAGGGAGCGGCAGTGCTATGAAATGAACGGGCGCAACCTCAACATTCCTGGCATCACGCCGGACACCAAATGGCTGCCCAAGTACGAGAGTAAGTGTGCCCGATTCCAGATGAAAGCCACTGGGCTAACTCCATATTTCTTTCTCGTTGTCCTGTTATGTCCCGCCCCCCAAAAGGAGAACCATGCAAGCTATTCTGCCGCATGGAAAACAGCGGCACCTACTTCATGCTCAAGAACAAGGTCACCGATGGCACCTCCTGCACGGTGGATAGCTTCGACAAGTGCGTCAACGGCATCTGCCGGCCGGCGGGATGCGACAACGAGCTCAACTCCATTGCCAAGCTGGGTAAAGAAACCATTTAATGCGCTCTACTTCCACGGACAAGTGCATCTTAAGAGAATAGTTCTAACTTTAATGTAAAACGCTTCTAGAATGTTACTTTAAATCCTAATCTGCAACCCGAAAACCAGCATGCAACCCCTCTTCTCCTATTTCAAAGCAAAACCAATTGAAGATGACGCATCCCACTAACAAGAATCCAACGATTTCCGCTTTTTACAGACAGGTGCGGCGTGTGCGAGGGACGGAATGACACATGCCATGAGGTTACCGGGAACTTTCTGGTGTCCGATCTCCTGAGGAGCGGCCAGAAGTCCAACTTCTATGTGACGACAATACCAAAAGGTGTGTACACTCATACGTACATTTCGATAATTAATATTTTGGCTAATACTTTCCTCAATGAATGCTAATGGTTGCCGTTTATGTCTTGGCGAATTAATTGCTAAATTTTATGTTCACACATGTACTTGCGTGTGTTCCGTGTGCGCGACGCGCAGGCCTTGGGCGTGACTTGTCACAGTCCACAGGTGGCTGCCGGATGGGGTGATAGCTGGCTGTGAAGATCCGATGGCGGGTCGTCGCCGGAACGGAGTGGAGCAGGTTGGGGGCCAGGTAAATGCACCCCGCCAGCGCACGTACGCCCCGATTGGGCTGCGCCACTCCAGATTCCGGTGCAATCAGCCGACGACCGCAGGTCGCCTTGTTTAAATTTGCCCATTAATTATATGTAATCACCACGGAATCGAATCGGCTTATCAAGAGCTGGCGCCACTTGTAATCTTGTAAATTCCGGACACTTGTGTATATACATGTGTATGTACTCGCGATTCACTGGATTCCATTGCGAAAATTGCAATTGATCGCGGCTTATCTGAAATATAGATTATTACTTATTTTTAATGCTATTGTAATCAGTTTATAGCTGTGTTCGATTTCCAATTACAATATCTGCGTACTCACCAGTTTTTTCTAATTACAAATGACGTAATTTTTCAATAATTTAAATACAAATTAAACAAATGCAAATGCGAACTTAACAAGTGAATAGAACACATGTAAAGATGGAAAACCATCGATGGCCGTCATGATCGATAGTCGGAAAAACTTTTATCCAGGCTATTTATCGAATATATTTATCGGGCGTTTTACCTTCAATTTTGAATTCATAATTTTATTTGCATATTTTAGGTGCCTCGAACATCGTCATCACCCAGCCAGGCTATCCCGAAAACCACTATATAGCTCTGAGCGATGACAAGGGCAACGGTCTGCTCAACCAGGATGTCCTGAAAACATTCTTCTACAAGTTCGTCTACGCTGGGGTTACGGTGGAGTACAGTGGACCCAACTCTACGGTGGAGCGCGTGAATACGACCTACTCATGGAAGTTGTCCCGTGATCTGATAGTTAAGGTGAGTGCCTGCATACCTGAAGATTCAGTCCAGCAGTTCGGAAGCAATATCTCTCATCTCTCGCAGATCATTTCGCTTAACCTGAGTGTGGCCAAGAAAAAGGACACTGTAATGCTTTCGTACTCCTACACCGTTGATAGACCAACGCAACCGGAAGCGGAAGTGGAGATCTACCGCTGGGAGATGTCCACGTGGAGCACCTGTGACTCGCTATGCGAGGGCAGAACCTACCGGAACCCGGCCTGCGTCAGTACCACCCAGGGTGTGAAAGTGGCCCCGCAGTTTTGCGACAAGTCCGCCATGCCCAAGGTGGAGGATCGTGGGTGCAACACGGATTGCCGCCTCAAGTAAGGGAAATCGACTGGAAATCCTCAACAAATATTAAAATATACATACATTAATTACAGTCTCACTGTCACGAGCATTTCGGAGTGCTCCGCCTCTTGTGGAGAACGAGGTACCCGCGAGAAGAGCTTCAACTGCATACAGACATTCCCGAGTATTCAGCGTTCCAATATTGTGGACATGTCCTATTGCAAACTGAAGTTCGATGTTGTCCATCACGAAGAGTGTCGCGAGGGTTGCTGGAACTTCTCGGAGTGGTCATCGGTGAGTGAATCCCTGCCCCCCAAAAGGTCTCTTGGTACGATCTAAGCTGCCATTTCCTCCTGACAGTGCTCCAAGTCCTGCGGCACTGGTACACAGCAACGTGAGGCCCATTGTTATCTGCACAACACGCGGGTCAGTGATGATCTTTGCAATCCCCGGACAAGGCCCCTGACTGACCTACTGACCTTCTGCAACACTGAACCCTGTCCCACGTACACCGAGTCACCGGTAGAGATTGCTCTTGGTTTCTCACATTTAGAATGCCAAACTGATATCCACATTTAATCCACAGAATGCCATTGCCATTAACAACTGGGTGATCGGAGACTGGGGCGAGTGCAACGAGTGGTGCGAGAAGACTCGCTCCGTAAGCTGCTCCCATCCGTATGGCTTTGGTTGCCAGAGCAAGAAGCCCAAGGAGGTGCGCAAGTGCTGCCACATCAAGTACACGAGCGAATGGACCCAGGTGAGATGCCTCAAAAGATGACTTTGCATGGGATAAATCTAATGTTAATCTATCACCCTCGACAGTGTTCCGTGCAATGTGGCGAGGGCAAGAAGTGGAAGAAGCAGACCTGCAGCAGGGTCTACAAGCCGGAAATACAGGGGGCACCCAAACGTCGAGAGCCGATTAGCGAGACCTACTGCATCAGTCGCAAGGTGCGGCGGCCAACGCTGCGCACCACCACCAAAACGTGCCGAATCAATTGCAAGTGGAACGTCTCGGACTGGACGCGGTGTCCCGCTGACTGCTCGGAGGAGTACCAGAGCCGCTATGTTCGCTGCGAGGCGTGGCAGGACAAAAGAAGCATGGAGGTCGCCGAGGATCAGTGTGATGCCAAGAAGCGTCCGACCAAGCGCCGCATCTGCAACAATTGTGTGCGGCGGCAGTCAAAGGTCATCATGAAGGTGAGTTGATCCCTTGTAATTTATCTTGCCATCTATAACTTTCCTCTTTTCTTCCAGTGCAACTGCGATGGCATAGAAAAGAGGCGCGACACGTGCTTTGACTCCCACAAGCGACGTGTCAGTTGTCCAGGCCGATCCAAGGTGGAAAGGCGCTGCACACCGCCGCCCTACTGTCGAAGGAGGATCGCAGCCAGCAGCATGAGTAGCCTCAGCAGCCGGAGTAGCGGCATCAGCATTAGAACGAGCCATAGGAGGCCAAGGAGCTGCAGGGAACTAAGAGAGATGCATGGCATCGACAAGGACGGCGACTATCAACTGGAGGTGCGATCACGGTTGGTGCGGGTCTACTGCCACGACATGCGCAGCCATTCTCCACGCGAGTACGTGAATGTGGATCCGCAGGAGAACTACTCCATCTACTACGAGTACAGGACGCACCTGACCAACAGCTGTCCGCCAGAGTCCCGGTCGCATGAGTACCCCAACGATCAGAACTCTGGTCGCACGCACTTTAGAAAGCTGCGGCTGAACATCACCGATCTGCGGATCCTGGACAATGACTTTGAGTTCGCTCAGTCGCTTGGCCAGCCCCAGAAGCTGGGATCCGCCGGTGATTGCTACAACCGCAACCGGCAGTGCCCGCAGGGCGACTTTGCCATCAACCTAGAGAAAACGGACTTCACCATGCGCCCGGGCACAGTGTGGAGTACGCATGGCCAGTCTGCTGTCATGAAGCAGGTGAGCGTGCATAGCCATTAGCTCTTTAATGGATTTCCCAATACTCTTTTCTCTCTTCTTCAGTTTGACAACACGGCCGTGATGCGAAGAGCTTTTTGCGGAGGCTACTGCGGCGGATGCTTTATTGCGTTGAACTCTGGTCTTTACCTGGATGTTTCATGACCTTCCCAATGGTAATCGGGTCTACGTCCCGGGAAGGACCAAGGGTTAAGCTAGCCCTCATGCATCATTCGAGGGTTACCCCAGCCAAGCATTACCACACTGAGTCGAGCTCCCGAGGCTCCTGCCTAACGAAGGTCAAAAGTATTCTCGAATATTAGATAGGATAGATAGATACCCATAGGAATCGTGTCGAAGAAACCCGAACAAAAATTCAAGCGAAATGCAATATATGTTATATACATACGGTCGTAAGGATCGGCAGCGCGTGTACATATAGGTTTATTTAACCCGAAATTAGCAACTAGATATTATATTGCCATGTAATGTATTAAGCATTGTAAATACCAGAGAGAACGTGAGCCGTTAATGTAGCGTATAAGATCGATCGACCAAAATACAATCCATAGATCGGGCTGTAGCCCTTAGATAATTAGGGCCACTCAGTTAAACCGCTTACTCTAAATATGTATGCAGTGATGGGAAATGTGAAGGTCCTTGCTTACCCTTTCCACAATGCTGAAACCCCTTCTACCTAGTTTACCAAGTAATGCATTTTTAACATTAATGACTAATCGAATTTTCTTGGCTTAACCAATATGTTTACCTGTACTCTGGGTACTGGCCATATCTAGCTCGGCACCTTTTCCATCACTGATTTCCACAAATGAAGAGCTCGATAAAAGTAGTGCAATGCCGGTCTGTACAATATTTGTATTAGCTTAGATTCGCAATAAACTAGTTAAGGAAGAGAGATACGAAGATATGTCTGTGTATGTGCTTACTTATGGTAACTAAATCGAATACTCATATTATATAGAACACATACCCACAAGCCAAAACCAAACCATTCATCCGATTAACCCTGCTGAAGGAACATTTTCAACTTATAACAGTCACTGCCAGACTTTCAATGTTCAATCCATCATACACCCCTAATCGCATAATCGCATAAACGCATAATTGTATAATCGCCTAAGTCCCGGTACCAAGTATCCTCGATGTATTTTCATTTTTATTTAACTACTTAGCTAGGCTAATGCAAAACCAATGTTAACAATTAATCTAATGTCGATTAAAGGAATTTAAAAGCTGTTTACCAACCAACTTTGTTCGCACCTTCAGTGGTTCTAGTACACGAAGTGGGTAATAGAAAAATGTATTTATTTAAAGTATTTCATATTTTTAATGGAAGATATATTTGGCTTTCAATTCACTGGCTATGGCTATGCTATGGCTAGGGTCAAAAGCTCCTCATATACATTTTAATGTTATCCGACATGGAGCACAGCTACGGGATGATGGTCAGAGTAGAAGGCCCACATGATGTTGCCATGAAGGATGATCTCCGGTTCTGGTGAATCTGAGTTGGATGATAATTGTGCGATATGTACGCCGTTGTTTTCGTCTATCACTGTGCGTGTGCGAGTCCAGGATGTGAGGGGACCCGCTTGCTTTTGGTTGTTGGTCGCTGCTGGTTGCTGTTGCCTTTGAAGGACTTTCGCATCGGACGAAAGACTTAAAAGCACTTGCGGTGGACAATGCCGGGGCCGGACTCGTCATACTCCTGCTTCGAGATCCACATCTGCTGGAAGGTGGACAGCGAGGCCAGGATGGAGCCACCGATCCAGACGGAGTACTTCCTCTCAGGTGGAGCAATGATCTTGATCTTGATGGTCGACGGGGCCAGGGCAGTGATCTCCTTCTGCATACGATCAGCAATACCTGAACACGGATAGAAACAAATTGAGGATTAAGAGGCTCTCTAGGCAGAGGTGTTGATCCGGCTTACCTGGATACATGGTGGTACCACCGGACAGCACAGAGTTGGCGTACAGATCCTTACGGATGTCCACATCGCACTTCATGATCGAGTTGTAGACGGTCTCGTGGATGCCGCAAGACTCCATGCCCAGGAACGAGGGCTGGAACAGGGCCTCGGGGCAGCGGAAGCGCTCGTTGCCAATGGTGATGACCTGGCCGTCGGGCAGCTCATAGGACTTCTCCAGGGACGTGGAGGCGGCGGCGGTGGCCATCTCCTGCTCAAAGTCCAGGGCGACGTAGCACAGCTTCTCCTTGATGTCGCGCACGATCTCACGCTCGGCAGTGGTGGTGAATGAGTAGCCACGCTCGGTCAGGATCTTCATCAGGTAGTCGGTCAGATCGCGACCGGCCAGATCCAGACGCAGGATGGCATGGGGCAGGGCGAAGCCCTCATAGATGGGCACGGTGTGGGAGACGCCATCGCCGGAGTCCAGCACAATACCGGTGGTACGGCCAGAGGCGTACAGGGAGAGCACGGCCTGGATGGCCACGTACATGGCCGGCGAGTTGAAGGTCTCGAACATGATCTGGGTCATCTTCTCGCGATTGGCCTTGGGTTCAGTGGGGCCTCGGTCAATAATACTGGATGCTCCTCGGGGGCCACGCGCAGCTCGTTGTAGAAGGTATGATGCCAGATCTTCTCCATGTCGTCCCAGTTGGTGATGATGCCGTGCTCGATGGGGTACTTCAGCGTGAGGATACCGCGCTTGCTCTGCGCCTCATCACCCACGTAGGAGTCCTTCTGACCCATACCCACCATCACGCCCTGGTGGCGGGGGCGGCCCACAATCGAGGGGAAGACAGCACGGGGGGCGTCATCACCGGCAAAGCCGGCTTTGCACATGCCCGATCCGTTGTCGATAACTAATGCGCCCGCATCATCGTCACACATCTTGGCAGTTGATTATCTGAGAGTGAAATGGGCAAGATTATAGGGTTAGTGATATCTTTTAATAACATATGTGGCTTTTAAGTGAGTCTAATATTTCCATTTATTTTTTAGTCCTGTAGCTCATGATTAGTCTTAAATTATATGAGACTCTTTTGGGGAAGTTAAAAAACAAAGAACAAAGATAAATTAACAAGAAGTTGATTCCCAATTAACTTCATTCTTTGAATAAGTGAACTACTTCATCAGTTAAATCCAAATAAGTTTGAATACTATTTATAGAATTATTAATAATTTGTTTGGTCAAAAAAATATATATATCTATATCTATATATCTGTATAATGAATGTTATTTCTTCTAATTTAAATATAAGTTTTTTGCAATATGCAGGGAACCTTGCTTGTAACTTTTTAATCTTTAACACTTCAACTGCCAAAATATATAGGTGCAAATCAAATGTTTGTATTCAATAATTAAAGAAAGGATCTTTGTTTTAAAATTGTCTTAGATCTTCACAGTTAAAACTCGGTATTCACGAAATGCTTTTATTCTTTTGTCACCATCTCTGCTCGTAAAAAGTTGATATTTTACGAGCAGTTCAAGGAACCCAAATCAGGCTAATTAGATTAATTCGAAATTCTTTAGATTGTTAATCCGATTCAGCATCGTTCGATCCAATTACTATTCACTTTAAAAATAGAATATGCCCTTTGAGAATAAGAGCACATGTACAGGCACTGGTTTATTCCACCAAAACAATTTTAGATATCCTTTCTAGACGATCTGCGGTAATCCTTGATTCCTTTCGGCACTCACACACCTTTCTGGTCAACGAAGGGATGTAAATTGAATAAACTCGCACGTTCGATTCTTGTTGACGCTAGAGACTCAACAACAAATGGCACGCCGTGCGGTCTGTCCTGCCTTTATATCGACCCCCTCTCGACCGAGGCGATTTCAATTGGTTGCCAGGACGGTGCTCTCCGAAGAAAGGAATGAGCGAAAGTTGTGCGAGACAATGGACTCGAATCGATCCATATAAGCAGTTTTCTCATTTCTGATCTGAGCAGGACAGAAGTTGGCATTAACGAGGCATATCCGACAGATCAATGAGCTATAATGATTTAATTAAAGTGAATAAGTTCGGAGCCAAGACCATTATATACCGAAGCTGGCCAAGTCAAACATTGCCTACTTTAGAGAGCAGATGAAAGGGAGGTGTTCCTTTGAAAATAAGGATTTTAGCGATAATTTATTGTTAATATTTCATTCGTTTATTCATTCATTGATTGTGATTTATATAATTATAATTTTAATATCTAAAAATGTATATACCTAAGCCCCATTCAGTTTCATAGAAAACCAGGGAAGTTTACAAACTAATACTGAAATGGTAGGGAGGTATCTTTTGAGAGAAAGCTCGAGAAAGATAAGAGAATCGAGTGATAAACACATGTGCGTGACAAGTCCCGAGCATCGGCCACTGCACATCGTTAATCGATTCTCTCGAGTTGGCAATTAGTGCCTGCTCCCGTCCCTGTTCCCGCTCCGTCTCCCTGCCTCCTTGGCGGCAACCGACGACTCGGAGATTTCAGAAAATAGAAACGGACCTTAGAAGGACCGACGCAAGACAATTGGCATGCCACCGCCGAAAACCCGGGGACTTGATGGTGCTGCGGATCGAGGATTGCAGGGGGGAGCACCTGGGACCTGGGGAGGAGCTGGGACAGGGACAGGGCATATGGCACGCAGTGAGACGCGACACCAAAATAGATGCGCCAAGCAGAGCGGCACCTATAAATCAACATCAAGGTTGATCGAGATCTCCGCGCGCGGTGTCCGAGGAAGCGGCATCCACGGCGGCGTCGATGCAGTCCCGAAGTTGCGAAATCACCATGCCGGGCCGACCATTTATCAGGGCAATTAACCATACCCAGCCAGACCGGCGGAAAGTGCATCCATCTCCTCCTCTCACCAGCTCGCTCGCTGCAATATATATTTTTATTTTCTCAATTGAATTGTATTTATCCTTTTAAGTAGATTTTATTTTGTTTTAGTTGTTCCCCCATTTACATTTTTATTGCCGACCATTGGCCAAACGTATGTATAATCGAATATGTTTGTGGTTTGACTAAAAATAGGTCCTGATTGTTCGGAAGTGAATAATTGACATTCCCAAAGTGATTTCTTAATCGATTTGGTGTGTGTGTTAGTCTGTTTGTGCCATGACAAAGGTTAGTTTATGCATATACGGAAGAATTTAAATTGAAATTAAATTAAAATTAAATAATTGAGATATTGTTATTTTAATAATAATTCATAAGTAAAGAAGATTTGAACATTTACTTAGTTAAAGTTCATATATTAATAATCCTACCTATAATAAATATATATATTTCAAATTACCACCAATACATTAATTTCAATTCGGAAAGCATTTTTGTGTTAGTTTTTATTAAGTCAATAAATTTGCATACCATATTTAAAAATTAATATTTTTTTCCATTTTTGAAATTTTTTGGAATTTGGAAAAAATGGAAAAATTTATTTTCGGCTAGATCGATTTAGCTGTTCATTCTGATCAAGAATATATATGATTAATAGGCTCGGAAATGATTCCTTCATTGTGTTATAAGCTTCTGATTAATACAAATATCCTAAAAAAGGTATAAAAACAGGGAATTTATTGAAATAATCAGTGTTTTTCAAACATCATAATTAAGTCAAAAAAGCGTCAATTTTAATTCTGAAAGCTGTTCTGTGCTAACAAATCTGCATACTGCGTTTGTTGGTGCTGTTAAAAGAAAAGAAAAAGAAACTTTGAATTTGAACTGTAAGAAATAACAAATCCAACAACAAAACGGAAATCCAATTTGGCGAATTCTTCATACAAATTTCTTAAATTCTTGGTTTTGTGTACCAGGCGAACAGAAAGCTCCGCAAGCAGCTATTCAGCTGATTAAAAAGTTCTAAAATAACGGATCTTAAAAGAGATGAACTTGAAGATCCTCTCTGATTGGTCACATCAAACGTAAACAAAGAGCGGCCATTAGGTTAAATTCAAATGTAAACAAAGGGCGCCATTAAAGTCCTGAAGTAACCTCTCTGATTGGTTAATTCAAATGTAAACAAAGGGCGGCCATTAGGAAAGTTGAAAAGATCCGTTATAATCCGCACGTGCTTGCGGGTTGCTGCTGCCCTCTGTTTCTGTTTGCCTGGTGACACCAATTGTTGATTTAGTCTGACTACAGCCCATTTTTGGACGAAATAACAACAAATCCAACAACACACGTAGCTGAATTATCGAAATTCGCTACTCAACTCGTGCTTTAATGTACCAGGCAAACAGAACGTTCAGCAAGCAGCTGATCCGCTGATACAAATGTCAT